TAAGTGAAATAATTTTAGTGGGCAGTTTGAAATTTTTCTTTGGGGGCAGGGAGCAGAGGAGAGCGAATAATGTTTGTACTTAGCTAGACAACCAGTGAAGAAAAAGCCGAGACACCAGAAGAGCCCCAAATCTCCCTGAATCCATACAGAGTAAGCCTGTTTCTCATGGCTTTTTATGGATTAAGAATTGGAGGACATTAAATAACATGAGGATGGAAAAGGATCTTTTGAGTGCTCAATCCTACAAGGTGAAGAGCACTCCTGTGAGGTGCAGAGAACCCCCATTTGCCAGTGACTTTGGTTGGGAATTGAAGGCTTAGCACCTGGCAACAATGCTCAATGTTTCTAAGAATGGAGCCCTAATTTACAACAGCAAAGGAAACAGAACAAGCAGTCTAGGACCCAGTTATACCTAGAGATGTCCGAGTTATATTCTCTTGCTGTAGTTGTAGTTTTCATATTAAATAGTGTACATAGGATAAGGAAATTTAAGTACTGATTGTCTACCTCCCTACTTAGAGACCCCTTTAATCAATAGCACATGGAGAAATAGAAGTACAAACTGACCACTTGTGAAGCAATCCGATTTACTTTAGTGTGTCCTAATGTGAGACAGATCCAGTCCTAAATTATCCTGGTTAAAGGACTCAAGCGTCCACGTAAATGCATACTCAACTGCCAAGTGTCTTCAAATTTCAGTCTTGTTCAGTAACTCTTGTGGTTAATTTGAGAGGAAATGTTTGCCAAAATGAAATGGTTGATTTAAGGTGTTGGTTCCTTCTAGGGCGCTCAGAGCTACTAGCTGGAGCTAATTCCTGTTTGCTTTGTACAAAGCTCCCACTGAAGTCTGTGAGAATTTTGTTTGTCTAAATGATTTGGCCTCTACAGTAGTTAGCTCATATGAATTATATCAATTAACTGTGATGGCATTTGTGATGGTAAATCAGGGGTTAAAACTGTTCATATTAGCAGGAAAACATAGCATGAGCAAATTGCCAGCACAAATATCAAGGCACTGTTCCTGCGTAATGCTTAACTGAAGGTTAATGATCAGCTTAAAACGTAGAAAGGCTCTTAACAAAGAGCTGCCAAATTAAAGCAACAAGCATTTGGAGAGAGTCTTCCTTTCTCGTTAGGGAGTTAGGATTGACTAAAGCTTAGTCTGTTGTTCCTTGATCTAAGAAATCAATGAAGATGCATTTTCTAAATAAATTTATATAGCCCTTAAAAAAGAGGCAGCCTGACTTACATTAGCGAATTACAGGTTGGATATTTATTTGAATTACCAAAGATATGGTGAAAGAATTGGACCCTCTTTCAAGGTCTTGTCTGACTTTAGTTTAAATGGGTTCAAAGTTTAATCAGAAAAATTTCTTAGATTTAAAGGAAACAGCAACACTTTATTTAAGTCTTCTGGTATTAAAAGGCCAGACACAGTTTGTGATGAGCAGCTCTTGTGATTGATCAGAACTAATTTTTAATCTTCAAACCTAAAGGATTTATTGAAGTAGCTGGTTTACTGATAAGCTATAGTAAGCTGGATGCACAAAGGGAACCTGTTGATCCGAATCTTGATTCATAGCACTCTGTATAAGAATAGCCTGCTGCTCTAGGTAGGTTGTTTTTTTGTTTTTAAATAAGTGTGATTTTCCCTTATCTTCTAAAACATTCCTACCCTAGATTTTTACTGTTCCCTGAAAGGATTATGGACTGAGCACCTGATGCCAAAAATATGATTTAATTTTTAAAACATAAAGATAATTTTCTTGTTCAAACATCTAGCAGCCTTCAACTACCTGAGGGGGGGTTGGGTTCCAAAGAGAATGGAGCTAAGCTGTTCTCAGTGGTGGCAGATGACAGTACAAGGAGCAGTGGTCTCAAGTTATAGTGGGAGAGGTCTAAGTTGGAATTAGGAAAACCAGTTTCACTAGGAGGGTGTAAAGCACTGGAATGGGTTACCTAGGGAGGTGGTGGAATATCCATTCTTGGAGGTTTTTAAGGCCCAGCTTGACAAAGCCCTGGCTGGGGTGATTTAGTTGGGGTTGCTCCTGCTTTGAGCATGGGGTTGGACTAGATGACCTCCTGAGGTCTCTTCCAATCCTAATCTTCTATGATTCTATGATCTTTTCAGCATGCCAGAATATGAAATGGGAAGAAATGTCATAGTTCATCATTTCTTAGCATATTGCTGATTAATTTTATACAGGAGTTTCTACCAACTACAAAAATGGTGGAAATGGTTTCTAGTCACTGCCTGCAACTGTCATAGTTGGGTTGTAGGCAGCCAGACCTAGTGGTGTCAGAGCCAGAGTCCACAGTCACAAGACAGGAGTCAAGAGTCAGCTGGGTCAGGATACTGGGAGATCAGAAGCAGGAGATAAACTTGAGATCAGAACCATGAGTCAGGACTGATAGGCCTGGTCAGGATACGAGGGAGTCTGAGGCAGGAGACAAACTGGAGGTCAGGAACCACAAGTCGGATGCCAAGAGTCAACCTTGGTCAGGATGCCAGGAAGTCAACATGTGGAGCAGGGTGGAGCCCAGTTGTTTAGACAGCTTCCTGTTGGTCCAGCTGGCTGCTCTGGGACTCCATCAGTAGGACCTCAGGGGTGGAGCCACAAACTGGGGCTGGGTTTCATGGGTCCCAGATAAGCAGTTGTCAGCAAGCTGACAGGTACAGGGTTGGAGCTTGGCCACTCCTGTAAACCCTGCGGATCTGGGTTCGATATCCGTGGATCATGACAGCACCTAGGTTGGTCTGTACTTTAAATCTGAATGTTGTAGTTCATAACATAGTAGATGACCCAACTTGAAAACTTGTCCTGCTTGATTAATAGAATTCTGAAGGCCTCCAGAGACTCTTTTGGCAAACCACCGGTTCACAATGAGTAAGTCAGCATATGTAGTAGGAGATAGAACTGCAGACTGGTGTTCTTTGCCAGCCACTACTCTTCTCCAAATCACATGGACAATACTTAATGTACATTGTCATTGATTTATATTATATTATCTCATCCTTTGAAATGAGAGGGGCAGGAGTTAGAGGCTTTCCAGTGAGATTATGCCTCTTAGAATTGGAGGCGTGTCATTACAGCCAGGAAAGACTGCGCTATAAATAGAGAAAAACTGCAAGGGAGTCGACGCTGAATATATGTTTATAACCATATTCTTCAGCAGCTGTCAAGGCTAATTCCCCACTCTGGCACTTTGAGTGCAGAAGGTGAGGGCCCACAAGGATTCTAAAAATCAATACTGGCCACTCCTGACTTGTATTAAACTCCCAAGGTTACAGCTTTTCTCTGACCTTGGATTGGTAGATGCTGCCACCATGCAAGTGCAGAACTCCTTTGTGAACCCAGGAAGGCACACTTGGGAATTCCTTCCTATGGCGTACCCTCAAGCCCTTTCACACCACCACCCCTTCAGGGAAGAGCTGAGAAGGGGCGGGGGGTGGAAATTAAACATGTGCACAAACCTCTTAAGACACACAAATCCAAATCCTGTTCTTAAAAAAATAAATGTTATTGAAAGAAAGAAAATACATCTGGGAACTCAGGCTATTGCTAGATTTTAAAAGAGCCACTATAAGAATTAAGCACTAAGAATAGCTTTGTTGAGGTCCATCTTAAAGGTTACAAGCAAAACAGAAGCACCTGGGGTTAGCACAGAGGAATCCACAAGCCATAACAAAATAAAAGGGATAAATCTAATTGCGTCTTCCTAGACATTTCCTGATCTACTTACATGTCTGGGGTTTTAAATTAGTAGTTTCTAGGTATGATACTGATGATTTTTCATACCTGGTCCAAGCGTCTTACAGCATAGCTGTTGCCCTGTCCACCTCTCCCCGGGAGAACAACAACAGACAGACAAAAGGGGAGTCTTGTTTCAATTTTAAAAAGTTCTAGACCTTCCCTTGTTTCTTTTGGCCAGGTTCCCACTCGCTTCCTTTTACCTATGCATAGCAGTGAGACTTTTTAACCCTTTACAGGTAGAGCAATTAGAGAACAGCTATTAAGAGGAATTTTATAGCTACTGGCTGGTTGGGAGTCCATAAAAGGGAGTTACCCCCAACCCCCTTCATTTATCACAGCAGCTTTGTCAGTAACTACAGTACTGTAGTGTAGACACTTGCTACAGCGACAGATGGGGTTTTACCATCACTCTAGTAAATCCCTTCCCTCAAGAAGTGGTGGCTAGGTTGATGGAAGAATTCTTCTGTCAACCCTGCAGTATCTATACCAGGGCTTAGGTTGGTTTAACTGTGTCTCTGGTGTGAATTTTTCATGCCGGTGAGTGACGTAGCTTAGGTCAACCTAAGTTTTAGGCTTCAGTATCTCCTTTCTGGGTTTGACTTCAATGGTATGCTGAATGGTATAGAGCAGGTAGCGTGTGCTCTATTTGGAGCAGGGTGGGAACTCTACCAGGTCATTCAGCACATCAACCAGCAATTTAATTTAATTTTTTCTTTTTAGTTTTGTAGTTGACTTTTAAGTTGATGTGGAGTTTTCCGGTTATTGTTGCAGCTATGCTATTGCACGTCCATTACTACAAGGAGAAAAGATTCAGTACTCATAGAACCATAGATGTTGTGTTTCAAGTAGTTTCACTTCCTTTTCAGCCGTATTGTTGAAAAGTACCGTTGCAACCCTATTAGTAGTACTCTTTCTGTTTTAACTGTTTGTGAAAAATAACTTGACCAGCTTTGCTTCTGCTGGAGTCTGATGGGTTGCGCCACATTTCCTTTACATATATTGTGCAAAAAATACAGGGACAGTTGAGCCCACGGGATGAAGATCTCACATCAGTTAATCTTTTCCTCCCCTACAGAGTCCCCAAATTTCTCAGATTGTCCCTGTATTGCCCCTTGTTTGTTTATGTGGTTAAAAGTTCTGTGAAATGATCCCATATCGTGTCAGGTAAAGTTTGAAATGCTACAAGAGACAAACCATTATGAATTATGTTTAGTGAAATTGGTAATTTCTTCTCTTCCTTTGCAGGTTCTTTAAAGAACTTGAAGCAAGGCATCAGAACAATATCTTCATAGAGGATATTAGTGATATTGTTGAAAAGCATACTGCATCAACATTTGACCCATATGTGAAATACTGTACTAATGAAGTCTACCAACAGCGAACGCTCCAGAAACTATTGTAAGAAATTATGCTTAAAATGCATGTTTTAAAATCATCCCCTTAACAGCAGCAATCAGGATTTCTTAAAGCATAACATCTGGGCTCCAGTTCAGCAAATCACTTAAGCACATGCTTATTTTAAAGCACATGTTTAATTCCATTGATGTAATTGAGGGTGAAAATATACTTGGCTGTAGAGTCCAATCCTATTTGCAGTCATGTACTACATTGTCTTCATTGACAAGCACAGTTTTACTAGTTTCTTCATAGCAATGCTTTTATACTTTTCCCTTTGTATCATATATTGCATTTTGTTGATTTTTGTGTGTATGCGTGCACTGATGTATCTAAATATCAGTTATATTTGTATAATATTTCTAAATATAACTGTCGAACACTAAAAGGATGAGATTCCCTCAGACTGCCCTTCCTCTGATTTAGTGACATCACTGCTATTTGAAAAGAGAAATTCACATTTCTAAATTAAAGCAATCTTTTAAAAACCTGTGGTTTCTTTTTTTTTCTTCAGAGCTACAAATCCAGCCTTCAAAGAAATGCTGTCACGGATTGAGTCCCATGAAGACTGCAGGAATTTACCTATGATCTCTTTCCTCATTCTTCCAATGCAGAGGGTTACACGCCTTCCGTTGCTGATGGATGTGAGAACAGAGATTTTTTTTTTTTTATCTGTATATTGTGTCCTTGGAAATTAAGCAACCTTTCTTTTTTTAGTTATTGGCCCATTCCCACCTTACTTTGTTTAGACTGGAGCCGTGGCTGTATAAACTGGTCTGTCAACAACAAAGAGAAAATTGTGAAGTGGGTAGTGGCATTTATTTGCACTTGCACTGACCAAGGAACTGTGTAGAAGATCAAGTCAAACAGTTGGGCACCAGTCTCTAATGAAACTGTATGTCGAAGTCAAAGTTAAGACACAACTACCATAGAAGTTGCATACATACAGAATTGGGCCTAGAACCTGGTCCTTCAGTTCAAAACATAGGCTTTCTGCATGCAGACTAAAGGACTCCTCCTTTAGGGCCAGACTGTGCACCCCACTTTTCTCACAGGAATAGTCCTTTTGGCACTGAAAATTAAGGGGGTCACAATCTGATCCGTAGCCAACAATTTTAGTAATTTCTCCTCTGCCCTCAATGCGGCGGGGAAGCCACTAGAGGGAAACCTCTTTTACATCCATAGCTAGTAACCAGCCTGTTATGGTGGGGTGTGTGGGGATCTCTCTCCCAACAGACAGCTGCAGTGATTGGGAGAGCCTACAGTGAGGGAGCTTGCTAGGAAGCAGAGGTGGAAATCTGATGGAAACATACATACTCATGAAGTCTGTGGCATTTTGGTTTGGATGCCAGGACTGAATGTGATCTGCACTGCTGCCAATTACATGGATTAAAATCCACACCTGAATTCTGGCTTTAGTAGGACCCAGATCAGGACTTGTACAGGTCAGTCTCCTCTGTAATCGTGAATACTGCTATAACTATGGGGATGTGTTCAATACTTCACAGTGGCTGATTAAATAATAGTCCTTTATATATATCTACAGTTGCTAGTTTAGACATCCTGGCCACATGGGCCCTACTCTACTGTTCAGTAAATCCCTGTGTTTGTTTAAAAAAAGAAAAAATCCAAACTATTTAAATTCAGGATACTTCTATTCTTCAGGTATGAAAGCATCTAACAAGCTGAACAGAATGGAAAATTACAAAACAGTTTTTTCTGGGAGATAATTTCTAAACTTTATGTTGAAATTTTTTCTTTTTATAGTGAGTTTTCATTGTTTCACTTAAATTGTAATATGAAAAGTATGATTTTCTTCTGACATTCAGACTGTAAAAACATAATTGCACCTGAAGAATGGTTTCACATTAAAGGTCTTACAATATTTGTGTAACTCTACCAAAAACATAATTTAGCCCCTTCATTGTTAGGAACATATTGATACATATTGATATTTATTTTGGCCGAACTTTATTTTCATGACCAACTGACGTGGTTAGCCAGCTTTCAGCAAAAGTTCCACAGTGCTTTGAACATTAGTGATTGGATTATGTTGAACCTTTATACAGTAGGAATAAAGGGTGTAAAGAGCTTCCCTTCCTCCCCACTTTCCATGGTCGTCTTAAGGGACAGAGACAATTGAAAGGGAGCACAGGCTCTGCTCTCTCCAGGGCCTTTAGGAGGACATGGTGCTCTAAGCAGGCAGGTCCGTGGCTTACCCCCTCCCTCAGCATTAGACCATAAATTGGTATCGGCATGCTGCACTTCCTGAAGAGCACATAAGTAGGTACACACCCCATGTGCACTGAGTTCTGGCTGGTAGGAAAATATGCTTCTATGTTGCCCCTCCATGTTTAATTTCATTAATTGTACTGTAATTCTGTATTCATCTGATTTTAGATTTAACAATATACAGATTTCAGTTTTGTGAATTGATTGACTTTTATTTCAGACCATCTGCCAGAAAACCCCTAAAGATTCACCAAAATATGAGATCTGCAAACAAGCCTTAAAAGAAGTGAGCAAGGTATGTTTTTAAAAAGCAAATCCTACACAGCCAACCTGCTTCTATTTAGACTCTCTTCCTCCTCAGTTGTGCAGTGTGCTTTGGCCAATTCAATATGCCAATCTGAGACATGCTCACTTTTGTTTTTCCAAATGGCTTTGGCCCCTTATTTTTATTATATATAGCACCACTTATTTGATGTATTATTTACCTCCTTCATTATTTTCTTGATCATGCATTTCATAATGAAATTGGACAACTTGGTTCTATTCTCCCGTCATTGTCCAAAAAAAGGAAAGTGGTACAACACCCAAAGCCTGGAAACTGCCATGGATTTTCCAGAGTTAGAAAACTGGAGCTCCTAACAACATTTAAGGATTTTTTTTTTTTTAATGAAATTAAACCATTTCAGTCAATAAGAGCTGTGTTGAAAATCTCTTTTCAGCTTGGAACAAGTATTGAGTACACGCAACAATAGAGGAGCAATCCATTAATACCCAAATCATAAATATTGCCCATAATTAATTCTGTAATAACCTCCAATGGGTTTCTTTTAAAGCTGATAATGAGGTTTTAGAATTTGGCATTGGTGACAACTTCCAACTTCACAATGAAAACTGTTGGCCTCAAAAGCTTTTTGAAATAAAGGGAGAGACAGTTTGAAATGGAAATCTAGAAACTAGCCTCTGAGATCTTAGAATTTGAGACCCTACAGTACACAAATGAATGTCATTAAATTTGATGGATTGGGCATACCCCTATTGGAAATAAGGTTCCCTACATGTTAGGGCTAGACACTGCCTTAGGCTCTGAGCATTCCTGGCTCATTTAAATTATTTATGCATGGAAATTGACAATTCTTCTCTTAAAGTGGAAGAGTAATGAAGGATGAAAATGTCAAATTGCTTTATTCAGGAACAGTCACTGACAGATCAGCTTCACATTTAAATGATTCTGTTTCTCAGAAAAAATTCTGAACTGCTGCAGTAACACAATACTGCGGCCAACACACTTGAATTTTATTGTGGGAACTTCTTGTAGTGTACAGAGTATTCAGACTGAATAGGAGAAGGGGGAGGAGAATTTGCCTGACTGATATTGTTCATACCTCTTTCTCCGGATGCTGCTTAACTATACCCAATAAGCATGACTTTTATCCCTGACTCATAAAAATCCTCCTGTAGAACAAATGTTTTACAATTTTTTTTTCTCAGGGAAGGATATCTAGAGCTTGGTGTATAAGGGCTTTGTCCCCATAGTCTTCAAATACTCAGCTGTTGCACTGAATTCATTGCCTAGTCGTGTGCAACAAAATAGTTTAATTTGTCTCCTATATAAAATCCACTAAAAATGTAACAGCCTAACTTGCTAACATGCTGCTTCCTATCTGCCCAACAACAATTATAGCAAAATAAAAAGTGAGCTTTTTTTCCTATTTGAAAAGCTGGAAGGCTCATTTGTCCTTTCTAGACTTTTGATGCTGCAAGTTAGCCTAGAGAATGCTATCCAGACAGACTCAATTGATTTGTGTTCCTACTTTCATCCTACTCTCCACCACTCAACACTGACAGGGATTAGCAGGAGTCATGGTGTTAGCATTCAGTACATTAGCTATCCTTTTCATTGAATTGCTGTGGTACTGGAAGGATCTGGGGAACTGAGTGAATCAATGGAGTATGCTGTTGCTCAGACATATCTCTCTCCCCTTCCAGGAATTGAGAAACAAGAAGGGGCCCATTGACTTTTGGGGAGCCCATGGAAGGGGTTAAGGAGTATATTTTATTTTTTCCATTTAACATATCTGGATGCCTGATCTTCCTCCCTTTTTTTTTTGTGGGGTGGGTGGGGCTCTAGAGGAATATGACAAATTTTCAAATCACATTCTAAAGCATGAGTGAATAGTTTTGTAAAATACTACCTTCCTTAGCTTGCCAAAAGAGCATCATAACGTTTGCCTTGGTCCTTCAATAAACAATTTGCATGTCTGCAGTTATAAGGGCAGCATATAACATTGGGTCACAACTATACAACTCACTTAACTTGCCAGAGTTAGAGTTTATGTTCTCTCAGGGTGCCCATTACGTTTTTTGGACTGAAGATCTGCGATCCTTTTGAGTTAGATACTTTGTGCCACTTGTACTGCTCTGTGTGGAATAATCAATCCTCTTTGTGGTTTACTGTAAAAAAAAAAAAAAATCAGTTTCTTTGATTTTCTTGCTTCTTCAGTGGTATGCATTTCCACAGAAAAGTTGCCATGTAAAGGAAAAACTAGTAATGCAATATCTAAATACATTAAAGTAGGAACACTTTTTTCCTTTTTCTTTCCAGTTGGTCCGTTTATGCAACGAAGGGGCTCGAAAAATGGAAAGGACAGAAATGATGTACACAATTAACAACCAGCTGGAATTTAGAATCAAGGTATGATATTTGCATTCATGAACTCATTTAGCATGTGCAGAACTTTTGCCTTTCCTTAAGTTTTAAGACTGACAGATTCACAGCCAGAGAAAATGAAGCAAATTAGCTGGGGACTGTAGAAGCCATGATGCTGAACTGACCTTTCAACAAAAGACTAAAAGTTTGTCTCCTGAGAGCAGCTGAGGCTGTGAATGCTCAAAGAGCAACAGATGCCATTGCTAACCATATCTCAGTTACGAACACCAAGCAGCTAGAGCTTTAAACAAAAAGTAATTACACAAGTTAACACTACTCACCTGAGTATGGTGACCAGATAGCAACCGTGAAGAAACAGGACAAAGGGTGGGGGTAATAGTGTACCCTTGTTACCAAGAAGGCCAGTGGCATTTTGGGATGTATACGTAGGGGCATTGCCAGCAGATCGAGGAACGTGATCGTTCCCCTCTATTTGACATTGGCGAGGCTTCATCTGGAGTACTGTGTCCAGTTTTGGGCCCCACACTACAAGAAGGATGTGGAAAAATTTGGAAAGAGGCCAGCGGAGGGCAACAAAAATGATTAGGGGTCTGGAACACATGACTTATGAGGAGAGGGTGAGGGAACTGGGATTGTTTAGTCTGCGGAGGAGAAGAATGAGGGGGGATTTGATAGCTGCTTTCAACTACCTGAAAGGGGGTTCCAAAGAGGATGGATCTAGACTGTTCTCAGTGGTAGCAGATGACACAGGACGAGGAGTAATGATCTCAAGTTGCAGTGGGGGAGATTTAGGTTGGATATTAGGAAAAACTTTTTCACTCGGAGGGTGGTGAAACACTGGAATGCATTACCTAGGGAGGTGGTGGAATCTCCTTACTTAGATATTTTTAAGGTCAGGCTTGACAAAGCCCTGGCTGGGATGATTTAGATGGGGTTGGTCCTGCTTTGAGCAGAGGGTTGGACTAGATGACCTCCTGAGATCCCTTCCAACCCTGATATTCTATGATTCTAATAGGTGCCTATATAAGAAAAAGTCCCAAAAAACGGGACATCTGGTCACCCTACACGAGTTACACATAAAAACCAAGAGTATTTGTGGCACCTTAGAGACTAACAAATTTATTTGAGCATAAGCTGTTCTTTTTGCGAATATAGACTTACGTGGCTGCTACTCTGAAACCTGACATAAAAACCAGGATATTCGGACAGAAGGCGTCTCACTGTCAGTGAAATCTTGCCCCCCTGTTGAAGTTAATGACAAAATTCCCATTGACTTCAGTGGAGCTAGGATTTCACCTTGTCTCTTTAACTCATGAAGTTCTGTAGAAGTGTTCAAACACAGATGAGATATAGAACTGTTCATTGGTCTTTTTCTCTCTGTCTCTTTCTTTCTTTCTCCCTACCTTTTCTGGGTTTGTCAGCTCTTGGATATTTTCAATAAACTAAGAAGATACTATGAGAAGTGTAGTGCATTTTAAAAATACTGTAATAATTTAACTAAAACATATTTTAAAAGTGGTAAAGTATATATTGTTTAGCAGGAAAAAACAAGTATCAGACATTATTACATTCACAGCTGTTTTGCCTGTTGACATATTGTGTTAAACTCATTAAAATGATTAGAGTTCAGTACTTATTAAAAGGGCTGCATATGATAGTGATATTTTCCAAATCTTTTGAGTACAACCAAAGTTACAGATTGTGGTGTTTGTTTCCTTCATCAGTGGCCTATCGAACAAGAGTCAAATGTGATTTACAAAGTTTTTGGTGGCATTTTCAAAGTATCAACAATAAAGAAAAAAAATCTTCTTTGTACCTCAAAAATGTTCATTTAAAACAACATTTTGTAAGTGGAATATCATACCCATGGGATGACATTATTTCTCAAGAATACTTCTTACTAATGCAGTGACAAAAGTACCATTTTGTGTATTGTTTTTTTTAAAAGTCTGTGTATTTTAAAGGATTTCTGTACCCCCATCTTGGCTAGGGAAAGTTCATGACTCTGGAGCAAGACTTTTCAAAGGGTCCACAGCATTTTTATTGACATATTTCCAATAAAAATAGAAAAATAGGGTGTAAATATTCACTTACAATAACAAAAACAATAAGAAATTCTTTGTAAGGTGATCATGAAGTTCACTAACGACCTTGGGATAATATTCTCAAGAGATTTGGGAGACCATCTTTTCAGATTTGTCATTCCAGAGCCTTCAAGTCTGAGTAGTTTCTAGGAGTTTATATAGCCAAAAGGCTCTCACAATGCCACTGTAAATGGCTTATATTCTTTATTTTCACCACAAAAGATGTCCATAATCTGTTGTTCTTGATTTAGGCAGAAGGATCAATCTCTTACAGTGTACCCTCTTCTAGAATGTATACTGCAACTTCCCCCTCTCATCAGTTTCATGGGAATAAAACAAGCAACTTTTATTCTTTAGCTTTTTTGCTAGAGTACCATTCTGTATATCTTAAACATGACTCCTTGGTGGTTTAAAATTTAGCTGTGGTTTGAGAGTTTGCCAGTCTGATTGTAAAAGGCTGATTTTTCTTGGCATAGTTTCAATACACTTTATTATGCTGAGCCTGTTTCTTGTATATAGGAAGAAGACATTCTGTGTTCAGCATTGCATATATTTGACAGTTAGAAAAAAATATTTTTAAAAGTCAAAGCAAGTGTTCTCTGGAATCTAACCTGTTAGGAAACCATATGCTGAATTTATTTGGCATAGAAAGCAATTTTGAGGTATGTTGAGTTAATAGCAAATAAAAGCTTAGTTAAGCCCTTTTTAGGTATAAAATAATTGAATATCTTGAGACTGTCTTTCTTAGAAATATACATAATTTAAACTATAAAATAATCTCTAGGCCCCCATATGACATTCTTAAAATTGCTACAATGTTTCATTCAATCTAACTTGGTTTGTGAAGCTTGAATAACCAAAGCCACTCCAAAAATGGTTTAGTTTCCTTTTTATGTACTTACTCAGCTGTTTGCCCATCCTGAAGATTTAATTTTTAGTTGAGATGAGAGGATATTTATTCAGTGTCTTCAGTTTGAGATTTCATGTACAGTACTGGGGAAGTGAGAGGCTTTTTTCCTGCAAACAGAAATAAGAATTTAATTATTTGGAGCAGCATGCATTTTGTGACTGCTACTGTCAAAGACCATTGTTGAAACTCAAGCGCTGTGTTTGCATGGTTATGAAAACATGATATTGGGATATTAATATAGTTGTATTTGTGTCAGTCCCAGGATATTAAAGAGAGAAAATGGGTTAGTTAATATATTTAATTGGATCAACTTCCAACAGAAATTGGAGTCTTGATCACTTGGTGGAGAAAGATGGGAAGCGGCATTTGTCTTAGCAATGTTAGGTTTCATTCACATGATTTCGTGATCCCTGAGTTTTGAATGAGTGGGTTGAGTTTCTTGTTCAAACTGAGCCAAAATTTCAAGTCAAATATTGCTATGAAACTTATTACTTTGATTTCATAATGATGAAACTCAATACCTCCTGCAGCACTGAGGAGTTTATGAGTTTCATATCCAAGTACTGAACTAATTAGACCAGCGGTTCTCAAACTAGGGGTCATGACCCCTCAGGGGGTTTTGAGGTTATTACATGGGGGTCGTGAGCTGTCAGCCTCCACCTCAAACCCCGCTTTGCCTCCAGCTTTTCTAATAGTGTTAAATATAAAAAAGTGTTTTTAATTTATAAGGGGGGGGGTCACACACAGAGACTTGCTGTCTGAAGGGGGTCACTAGTACAAAAGTTTGAGAACTGCTGAATTAGACCTTCCATGGGATGTAAGTTTGAACAAGGTGACAATGAGGTGACAGTGACAAGGTGAGATAGCTACTGATAAAGGGAATTATATGATATTCTTATAGGAAAAATTGAGAAATGTGGGTTGGTTAGAATTATTGTAAATTGGTTACAAATCTGGTTAGAAAACCAAACACAGTACCTAATTCTGTACTGTTGCATGGGTGTACATTGGAATAATCTCAATTTAAATAAAACCAGTTTGATTGCACACTCTAGTCCACTGAGAGCAATTGGGGTTTGGTTCATTATCTGCTTGGAGAGTAGCATCTATGTGGTGTCATATATAGATTAAAAGAGGGCATACCAATATTTAGTATATTTATGACTTGGAAAAAGTAGTAGAAAAGAGATTAAATTAATGGATAATAGAAAATTGTGGACATTTAAAAGGGAAGTCCTCATTGAACAAGAACTTGCAAGTTTTGTTAAGTGAAAAGCAGCTGGCGGGGGTGGAGAGAGAGATTCTGGCCCAGCATCTACTGTATTTTATATTGGCTTTTCTATGTTATATAGCATAGGCAGGAAGGGCACTTTGTGAACAATTTTATTATTTTACTGTCATTAAAAAGGCATATGCAGTAATGTATTTCATATGCAAGAAGAAAGTTGTTGCCTCTAAAACTATGGATGTATTTATTCTCACCCTTTAATTCTTGCACCAGTGAGATCACAGCTGAAATACTGTGTTCCCTTTTGGACATAATATTACAGTACAAATACAGACAAATTGGAGACAGTTCAGGAAAGGACAGCTAAAATACTTAAAAGCCAGAAAAATAAGACACATAAGGAATGATTACAAGGGCTGACAGCTGCATGGAGAAATATTTTATGAGCATGTAAAGGGGTGTTCTAGAGACGAAATAAAGCAGTTGTCTTCATTAGTCAAACATGACAAGACAAGTAATGGGTTTTAGCAGCAGCCAAGAAAGTTTAAATTCAGGTGCAGAGAAATTCCGTAGCTGAAAAATCAGTCACTGGTAGTGACAGAACAGTGAGATAACAGAGGGAGGGGCAGAATCAAAATTTCATAATGGACTATGGGAAATGGTTAGTGGTTTTAGGATTCTGCCACAATAATGGAGGATTAAAGACCTCTCAGATTTCCTTTCCTCCTGTACTGGTTCTGGTTCACGTGATCATCAAACACAAGGATATTAGTGAAAGAGTGTGTTCCCTCATGGTTAAAGT